TTCTCTCCTCTCCTGTCTGTCACATTATAGACGAAAGCTTAACTCGAATTCAACGGGATCGCGGGACGATGAGCCGAGAACTTATTCTGACAAATCTAGAGCCATTGCATCAAAAAAATATTCTTTAGTCTTCAAGTGAAACCAATTTACAAATCCCTTCCATTCGCCTCTTCAGACGGGCTAAAGCTAAGCCAACAAAAATCTATTTAAGATCTCCAAAGGCTATCTTCCTGTATGATTGTCGTTAAGGTGACGAAAAATTGTTTTAGTTATTCTCTCCCCCCCCAGTCTCCTCATGCTATGCACAGTTGCCAGGCGCATGTGTCTATCATACTGCTTCTATCAGAGAGTGTTTGTGTTTGTGCGGAGTCTGGCAACATGGGTAAGGCTGCATAATTCGGTACCAATGCTGTAAACACTTCTGTCGCAAATAGTTTTCGGAATTGGCAGAATGCGAATGAGGCTAATTGCCCAGAAGTGGAGACAGAAGCAATATTTGCGCTTCCGCTTCCCTGGCCCCCGATAGTGTGTAAAGTTAAATGGAGCAAACCCATTGTACTGACATGAAGTCTTATAAGATTGGATTGTCCAACTCACCGGATTCCACGTCCACATAAAGCACGGCGTACTGCATTGTGCGTAAATTCTCCTCGCTCATCGTCAACACCACATACTTTCCAGCATGTCGTCTCAGCGAAATAGGACCCGTAAGGCGGAGCCGATTGATGAAATAGCGCACTCTGTTGCCAGACGCTTCTGTTTGTCCGAGTCCGTTGCCTTCGTCGTTTGGTTCCATGGCTGCCAAGAACGGCCCCAACCGACGTTCAGATCCAGTGGCGGCGGCAGAACCGGCAGAGACGGCGACGGCCGATGCAGAAGAGGCGCCGGAGCCAATCGAGACCACAGGTCCCAGGGACTGGCTGGAAGAGAAGTCATCCAGAGCGGCCACCTCAACGGTCTCCTCTTGACAGGCGTCAGGACCGAGCCACTGCTCGATCGACATGAACAGCTCGTTCACTTCCGTCTCCCGAGCCTGCGGTAACGGCATCAGCGTGCGGCCATTCAGCTCGCGCCTGCCCATTGTATCGGCTAAACTGCCGGCACGCAAGTCATTCTGGTGTCTATTGGCGTCAGCCGTTGCCATGGACGCGGACATCGTCTGTCTCGAGTCTCTTGTGGGTCCCGTGTAGACATCGGCCGGTTCGGAATAGTCAGACGCATCGGGCGAGTCGATCCAGGGTGCATGTTGCAGCTCTCTGGCGTCGACACGCTTGAGCCACTGCAAGAAAGTGGAACAAAGTATTTCAGATTACCGCAAAATGACGATGTGATGATAGTGTGCAAAAGCAAAGAAGACAAAACCTTATCATCTATCGCTTGCTCAGATCATTTTGACGAAGACTTTTGTCGTTTAAGGCAGTGGTTCCCAAACTTTTGCTAGTCGCGGCGCCCTTTTCCAATTAACATTTTTTCATGGCGCTCTACCCTAAGTATGACTATTCGTAAGTAAGAGATAATAATAAATAAAGCTCGTGTATCTTTATTATTTTTTCACTTTATTAACATTAAATTAATATTTAATAGTCAATGTGACGGATAAGCTTGCAAATCACTGCATATTTTCTTAAATCGTGGAATTAAACTGGACACTGCCATCCTCATTTCCTTTTCCACGTTGTTTTTTGTTCTATACTTGCTTTTTACTGCAGCGACCGCCTAAAACCCAGGTTTGCACAAATACGTCGAAAATGGAATTAAAATTCGCTGAGCCTTATCACTTAAAAGGTGATATTCATCTTTTGTTGAAATCCAAAATTATGTCAATTCCAATTTATCAAAGACAACAAACAAGAAGTAATATAACACTAAATAAATTATAATATGAACTCATTTACTAATTAATGATACTGTTTATGCATATATGAAGCGCGGAGTTTAACTTCACTAAATAAATAAATAACTCAAATTATAAGTCAACTGACAGAATCGAGCCGGCAACGCTTGCTTATATACTTTCCGCAAGATCTTCCAGAACACTCCAAATCTGTTACAAAGGTTCTACGCACCTCGACGTGTCTAGTACGATCATATGGCGATAGTGAGAAGACGCAGCGTTTTCTCTCACGTTTTTGTTTAGTTAGGCCAAATGTCTGGTTCAATTAATTATGAAGCTTTTACAATATTTAGCGGCGCCCCTGTAAAGACGCCACGGCTCTCCGGGGTGCCACGGTGCACAGTTTGGGAATCACTGCTCTAAAGTATATGTTATGCCCTTTAAATTTATTGCAAGGGAGAGAGGAAGAAAAAGAGAGAAAAAAGATATCACCGAAATCGTATCCGTTCTAGTGTTAAACGTCAACTTTCTGTGCAGAAGCCCTGTTTCCATAGCACACTTAGATCATGGATCTAACTAATGTTTCCTAATATACTCAAGCATTTATCATTAATTTTCGATCCTCATTAGTTGGGATCAGTCTTAAAAACAGCACATTCTAAATTTCACATATTTAGACCTGGAAAATCAGGATAGAAGAGCATGTTCGTATACCTTTTTTGAAATTACAGAACAATTTTTCTTCTAGGCGTTAAGCCAGTAACAGGAAGATGACGCACGCAGTTGGGGAATGACTAGTTTAAGGGTAATTTGATGAACGATGGTGAAATTTGTCAGAATGGAATAAGTTGAACTCGCAAGTCTATTTGTGTTTCACTCAGTTTTGCCTCACAAAAGTTTTCTCTTTAAGGAATTCAAGAATTACGGATAATTTTGAAGCATACTTACATTAAAAGTAAGTAACTTAGTACAGTGTTTTATAGGTTTTGTTGCACAGAGTTAGCAAATATCCTGTTATTAAGACTAGTGAAACGATACCTACACCCTTTTTCTGGAATACGGCCGTGGTTACATGAAATCTGAAGTGCTCATCGCCATCGTCATTCATCAGCAGGGCGGATTCAGCCTTAAGCAAAGTGGCATGGTCAAACTAAACAAAGGCACATACAAATAAACTATATAAAAATCAAACAACAACACTCATAAGCTTTGCTCCTGAAGCTCACTTCGCAGTTTCTATTGGGTAACTCGATCACATGGTGATCTCCTTTGCTATTTCCTTCTTGATAGTAATTGAAATAATCCACTACAGCCCAGTGTCGCTACTCTTCTCCTGGCTAAATCAATCAAAACTAGACTATGAAATTTAAGAAATATTTGCTCTTTTTAAAAATCCTTCATATCTTCAAGACTAGTCCTATGAATTTTAGTACTGTCTTAACTAGAATGTTCGTCTGAATACTCGTATTCGTGACATTATTTATACTGATTGTCGAGGTGAAGGGCAAGATGGTGTGACTGTCGGATTGGCTGCAGGCTTTTTCACTGTTTAAGGTTGGTTTAACCTAGTTTCCGCAATTTGGTCAGGAAAACAGATAGACCTTGAAGAACGCATTTAGTTTCGTGCCCTCTATCATTGTTGTTATGATAATTCCCATCATCAAAGGTGCGATGCTAGACATTATCATGATTAGTATGGCAGAAAAGGCAAGACTGGATATGTTTTATAAGTTCTCCCTGTCGTCCTGACCAAGTTGCGAAATCGAGGTCAAACCAAAATTATGGGAGATTAGGCTACGTGAACTTTACTGGCATCATAAACCCTTCTCATTTCATTGAAGGAAATTTTACCGTCGATTCTTACATAATTCAAATCGGCCTAGGCAGACTAAAGATCATATAATAAGAGCTGTATTCACCCTGGAGTAGGGGAAAATACAACTAGCAGTCTCCCATGCGTTTGTGCTATTTGGGATGAATACAGTTCTTATTCTTGCAGTTTCGAAACTTATTCAATCCGAATCTGTGTAATGCAATCGGTTGTAATATCGAATACAAGTTTGCAATAAGTAAATATGATACAGGAAATGCTCGGATTGTCTTAAATTTCACGCCTGCCCTGTGACCAACTGGCACCCGTGACTCTATGACGTGGTGGTAACATGTCGGAATTAGAAGCTGTACTACCACAGCCTTGTTTCGCTTTCCGTTGGGGTTGCGGTTGCGCCCCAAACGGTGACGCAATTGCAGTCAAACCGGT